ATTATTATATATCCATGTTTATATATCCATTATTATATATCCATGATTATATATCCATTATAATATATCCATGATTATATATCCATGATTATATATATATGATTATATATATATGATTATATATCCATTATTATATATCCATTATTATATATCTATTATTATATATCCATTATTATATATCCATTATTATATATCCATGATTATATATCCATTATTATATATCCATGATTATATATCCATGATTATATATCCATTATTATATATCCATGATTATATATCCATGATTATATATCCATTATTATATATCCATTATTATATATCCATGATTATATATCCATGATTATATATCCATGATTATATATCCATGATTATATATCCATGATTATATATCCATGATTATATATCCATGATTATATATCCATGATTATATATCCATGATTATATATCCATGATTATATATCCATTATTATATATCCATGATTATATATCCATTATTATATATCCATGATTATATATCCATGATTATATATCCATTATTATATATCCATTATTATATATCCATTATTATATATCCATGATTATATATCCATGATTATATATCCATTATTATATATCCATTATTATATATCCATGATTATATATCTATTATTATATATCTATTATTATATATTCATTATTATATATCTATTATTATATATTTATTATTATATATTTATTATTATGTGTGATTATTAAGATTAGTTTGAATAAAAATTATAAAATTTACAATGTTTTGAATGTCCATTGTTTTGGGGATGATTACTCCAGGGCTGTGAAGGTTGAAAAAGGTTGGGATCCAAGGAAACAAAGCTTATTGGAGGTAAAAAATAAAACTTCTTGTGATGAAGTGTTTAGAAATTATATAAAATAATCAATAATCGTAAAATACATAAAGTTGCTTTTCTGCTAAAGAACAGACTTGACATTTTTGTCTCTATAAAACTCCATCTTCACTATGTCATGGTGTTACGAACTTTGTTTTATACCTTGACTGCAACAGTCACCTTTTTTTTCTCGTGACACAGAAGCCCTCGACAGAAAGGCTGTAAACATTATAGCTCGACGTTCAAAGACTTTCTGTCGAGGACTCTGATTCGTTGTATTCGCTAGCGTACATCTAAATCAAATAGCTACATTCCGCGATACAAGAAATGTGGTAATTGCAGTCAAGGTTTAAGACAAAGTTCGTAATGGCTCGAGTGCTTGACATTGTGAAGATGATCAAACCATTTCATTTAGTACTTTATTAGTCCGTGGGTTTAAGTCGTTTCTTTACTTTTAGTCTAATATAAAAGTTGCCCTTTCAATTAACAAAATAGTGCTCTACTTGCCTTTTTTTAATCTATAAATTGTCCATTGTCAAGGAAACATAACAAATCGTGAAAGGATTAATCGAACCAAAAGTACAGTCTCTGGAATATTTTCTAATCTAGGAAGGCGGAGATTGCATCTAGCGCGATTTTGGCTGTGGAAGTAGAATAAATATCATTTTTGCTGACAAAGTGGAAAGTTATTAACTGTGTGATAATTTTTACTGTGACAAATTTATCGTGGGCGGAATTTTCCATGGGCCGAAAGGCAGCTGCCTAATTTGCCTATAGGTTAATCCGCCTCTGACGTATTGTAGGATAGCGATAACCGAAGTAGAAACAAAATTGTCATCTAATTAATAACTAGACGTTTGAGTAAAATGAAATGGAGTCATAATTTCTGCACCTGAATGGGCTAATGAACACCTGAAATGCCTTGCGGTGCAAAATATAGGGTATAGAATATAAGCCTGCCCAGAAGCGTTCCTACGGGGGCCATCCCCCACCCCACCGAGAATTTAGACTGGCCCGACTTCGGCCCCAACTTACAAATTTCTTTTCCTTGCTTCTTGCTTTAGCCTACACCATGCAGCCGCAGACATTGACCCGGGCAAATTTTCCGACGGAAACTAAAAGATAGCTTGCCAGGCAAGGTAACATACGCCCACTGGCAGCTGTCAGAAATGATTAAACAGTCTTTAGTGACTAGAGGGTTGCACAATATAGCTAATAGAGTGAAACGTCAAATCAGACACGATATTTCGGTGAAATATTATCCGATCATCGCGAAAATCAATAGGGATCATCTTCATAATAACATTGACATACAAAATAAAAATCAAAAGAATCTGTAAACAATTGTAGCCTGTAGAGTGAGCACGAGTTGCACAATATAGCTAATAGAGAAAAACGTCAAGTCAGACACGATATTTCGGTGAAAAATTATCCGATCATCACGAAAATCAATAGGGATCATCTTCATAATGACATTGACACACAAAATAAAAATCAAAAGAATCTGTAAAGAATTGTAGCCTGTAGAGTGAGCACGAGTTGCACAATATAGCTAATAGAGTAAAACGTCAAGTCAGACAGGATATTTCGGTGAAAAATTATCCGATTATCACGAAAATCAATAGGGATCATCTTCATAATGACATTGACACACAAAATAAAAATCAAAAGAATCTGTAAAAAATTGTAGCCTGTAGAGTGAGCACGAGTTGCACAATATAGCTAATAGAGAAAAACGTCAAGTCAGACACGATATTTCGGTGAAAAATTATCCGATCATCACGAAAATCAATAGGGATCATCTTCATAACAACATTGACATACAAAATAAAAATCAAAAGAATCCATAAAGAAATGTAGCCTGTAGAGTGAGCACGAGCCAAATGTGAACGGACGGACGGACGGACGGACCGACGGGGTGATTACAATATACGCCCATCTTAAATGTGGGCGTATAAAAAACCTTTTATCTTGCCGCCAGACTGGTCAGTAAAATATTAATGACTGTACTTTTTCAGAACAAAACGATTCAAAAACTGAATAGAGAACTTGGTTTGTATCTTGTACTTTTGTTTTTTACTATAAGGTTTTAATATAGAGCAGTTAGTACTCTTATTTAGGTTTCTAGACTGGAAACAATCCAATTGTCCATGCGACAGTTCCGCTGATGGACTGGGTTGATTGGTTGGTGGATGGACTGGGTCGAATGGTTGGTTGGTTGGTAGATGGACTGGGTCGGTTAATTGGTTGGTTGGTAGATGGACTGGGTCGGATGGTTGGTTGGTTGGTAGATGCACTGGGTCGGATGGTTAGTTGGTTGGTAGATGGACTTGGTCGGTTGGTTGGTAGATGGACTGGGTTGGTTGGTTGGTAGATGGACTGGGTCGGTTGGTTGGT